ACCATCCAAATCAATAAGGCCACCAATTTAACTGTAATTATTAAAGCATCTTTTCCTCTAAAATATGTTAAATAATAAATGCCAACTATTTTATAAGTGGTCAATTATTTTTAATACTCTAATTAAAATAAAAATTTATCCAGTATTATATGTCTAGTGATCATCCCCTTTGTAAGAACGTGCTTGAATATGAAAGTCTTGAGATTTATTTCTCAGGCACTACTTCCCTTATCCTCGACAATTCTCTTAAGTAAAAAAATAATAATAATAATAATAAAAATAAAAGTTTGATAGTTATTAATAGCCTTAACAAATTGAATGATAATCACATCCATAGAATTTAAGTTTCTTTTATCCGGTGCTCCCTTGGTGACAGTGGTCGTAAGTTTTTTATTTATTTATTTATTTTTTTTAAACCATCCAAAACTAGTACATATAAAATTAATTAAAATTAGTAGAAGTATATAAAAAATTAATAAAAAATTTTAAATTTACAGTTTTAGATAATTAGATTAATTTACAGTTTTACGTGGCAGAAAAATGCTGACTCAGAAAATTTTACTACAAGAAAATTATTGACCACAAATGATTGAGAATGCATAAATTATAGATTACAAATGACACGTACATATTACACAATAGTTTGTAGCTTCTCAATTCCACAATAATTATAATAAAAATTTGCTGGGCCCAAAAAGAGAAAGAAAAAAGGAGCACTGGAAAGGCAAAATGTTGTAGTTAATGTTGTTCTAATACATGGGAAAGTTGGGATCGACATCATGCGCCCAAGACTCCAAACCACCAACAATATCCTTAGCTGTTGTGAAACCCATCTTGTGAAGGTACTGGACAGCCCTCTGCGAATCATTACCTCTCCTGCATATTACATATAGGCTAGCACCCGTCCCAGAATTCTTACCTTTGCGCTCTTCCTCTTCTTTTAATGCTGATGAAACTTCAGGTAACCTGGCCTCAAGGCTAGAAAGCGGAATATTTAATGATTCTGGGATAGACACAATCTTGTAGTGATAATCTGGCCGAACATCAACCAGAATGTGCGCCTCACCGCTAACAAGTTTATCTTCATACTCTTTGCTGCTTATTCTGGACTCTGCTGAAAGCAGGTTCAACTTCAGGGGAGTCTGCATTCAAGAGGACTTCACTAAATTAAATTGTGCTCATTTAAAACAAAATGCATTGTCAAATGACAAAAATATGATCTAATAATACAACACTCTTATTAGTCCTAGATGGTAAAAATCATTGAAAAGCACTTCCATTCCCTTTTTATCAAGGAAAGAGAGATTATAAGAAGGGATTTTGAAACCACCTTTTTAAGTGGTAATTTAAAATGAGAAGCTTTTGCAAATTGTAATACAACCCAAACATTTTTGACATGAAGGTCATTCAGAACAGGAATTTGCAATTCCTTTCTTCAGACTTACCTCATTGAACTCCCTCATTAGAATCCTTTATCCAAACAAGTATAAATTTATATTCCACATTTCTCCCTAGAGTGATACAAGGTGATCTAGCTATTAAAGCATGATGAAGTTTGCATTAAAAAACCAGGAGCCAATAAAATACCGTTGCTAGTGGAGATTGAGTGAACTTCTCATAATCAAAATCTTTGAAATGCTGTTGGGTGAATGCTGCACCTTCTCCACAAACTTCACATTGCAATGACCTACCTCTAATTTTAACCTGAGCACCATGCAGCTTAATATTAGGTAAGAATATAAATCCAGTAGTTGATCCATAAAGAATGACACAAAGCCAAGGCCATGCTAAAGTTCCAGAAAGGATTTTAAAGAGGCAGATCACAGAACATACCATACGGATTCGTGCTGATAGGGCATCAAATAGAAGCATTCGACCTGAAAGGGGTTCACCAACAGAACTTGCAATTTTAATGGCTTCCAGGGCTTGGAGACAGCCAATGACTCCAGGAACTGAATATATGTAAATTAATGAGGTAAATCCCACAACCATAGGGGAAAAAAGTAAAAAGGAAAAAAATAAAGCTCATTTTGGTTGCCTAATACACCACTCACAAGCATTTCCCACGGCTATTTAAATAGAGTGGAACATATGTATGAGGGAATTTTCCCATGAAACTCATTTTTTCATCAACTACAGATATTTGTAAAATAGAGCAGCAGTGGCCATCAAGCCAAAAATAATAATAATAATAATAATAAAAGGAAAAATTGGGCAGCAATCAGCTTTTGTAAAATAGAACAATTACATACCAACTCCCAGGACACCACTATCAGAGCATCTTTGACATGCTGTTGTAGGAGGTGGAGTTGGAAACAGGCATCGATAGCACAGTCCTCCTTTGTAATTGTAAACTGTTAGCTACACATAAGAATTGGTGACTTAGTACACTTTTGGAGCTTGACTAATCTATTTCAGCATAACAGTTAACATAGCATTGAGTTGCTCTGAGAAATACAGTATAATAATCAATGTTGTATACCTGCCCTTCCAATCCTAGGGCAGCACCTGATACTAGAGGCTGCATGCAAGAACATGGAGCCAGTTAGTTGATAACACATATATGCTAATGTTTGTTGGTATTAGCACAAGAATTGATTTACCTTTCCCAATAACACACAGCAATCATTTATCATGTAACGACTTGGGGCATTATCGGTTGCATCTATGACTATGTCATATCTAAGAAATGTCAGCAGTCATGGGAATCACAACACTCCATATTTAATGACTGAAGAAAGAAAATAATATTCCTTTGTCATTTTTTGGCCAAAATATTTCCATCATTCAAAGAGGATACTTGCTCATGATGTCCAAAGCATTAGATGTGCGCAAAGCTTCCTCGTATTCAACAATCTGAATAGTGGAGTTCATACTGAAATTGAACTCTATGTTGGGTAAAATGTGAGGAAAATATCACCAAAAAGAAATTTAACTTACTATTACAAGATTTATACAATGAAAATAAGGCATGTAACTGAAAACAAATAATCCTAAGAGTGTAACCTACGCTCGGCAAGCAGCAGCAGCAGATTTCACTTTTGGCTGGCCTATATATGCTTCCGTGTGGATGACCTGAAGTATAGCACATTATTAAAAGTGGAACAAAATGCGAGAAACAAGAATATCAATGTCAAAGCATTAAAAAAAGAAAAAAGAAAAAAAGATAACGTTTTCAATCTTATACCTGTCTGTGCATATTATTAAGCTCGACAACATCATGATCAACAATACCCAAGCAACCTAAGGATAAAATACAGAAAGGGAATTACAAATCATAGATTTTGACAATTGAAATGGTTCAATAACAATAAGGATACATGGCAAGTCGGTCCATCATCAAGCATAAAACATCATCCATACAAGTTTATTAACATAAAAAGTTACTAAAATTATATTAATATGCATCTCCGTATTCGCAAAGAAACTCCTACAATTTCACAAAAGAGGCATCTTACCAACACCAGAAGCTGCAAGATATAACAAAGCTGGTGCTCCCAAGCCTCCAGCTCCAACAACTAAGATGGAAGATTTCGAGAGCTTTGACTGTCCTATAACCACAACATAGAAACTCAATTAGATTAATCAATCAATTTATTTGATAAGTAAGAAAACTAAAGTGACACAAAAACTAGTTTACAAAAATTTCAAAAAAAAAAAAAAGTAAGGTTTCTTAACAGAACACAATTAACGCAAGATCAATATTCATTTCAACTCGGACTCTTCATAATTATAGTTATTAAAGAAACTAACAACAAATTATAATGAAGTGATCCAAAAATAAAGCTCCAACCTTGAACTCCAAAAGAAGGGAGCAGCAGGTGGCGACTGTAACGGTAAACCATATCGGCCGATAACCCGTGGGAGGAGCCAGGCACAATAGCGGACGTTGCAGGACAAGAACCGCTGCAGACGGAGCCGTTTTGCTGGGGACATGGCTTCTGCTGAATCTGCCGGAGCTTAGATTCGAGGACAGAAATCTTATTGTCTATCCGCGCCCTCGTGTCCTTCAAGGTTTCGAGATCACGGAGGATTCGTTCCACGTCGTCTCCATCTAACCCCATTCCGGTGGGTTATGGCGTCGCCGGAAAATGAAGAAGAAGTAGAAGAACAGAAAAACCCTAATTAAGTGGAAGGCTTGAGGTTTAAGGGTTGGAGTTCGCCAGTTAAAAGGGCAATTTTGTCAACGAGACAACATTCCTAGTTCCTCCCTTCACTTCCATTGTTAAAACAGTTTAGTCCCCAAACATTTTTATTTTCCGTCTTAGTCCCTACGTCGGTACCTCCAACGTCTCGTGCCAACGCTTACATAGACCGGAACTCGCGGGCCCGTAACCGGCCCGCATATACTGATCTCGGGTTTCTAGGGTTTGCAGTCGGCGCAGAATACTCATCGCTGGACTGCTTTGTTTTCGGGCAAATCGCCGGCAAGGTAACGCCTTTGAGAATTCATATTTCCAATTCCAGAAATTTTTCGAATTTTAACGTTTCTTAACCCGAGATAATCATTTTTAACGGGGATCTTTTTTGGGAAATTATTGGATTTGTTTGTGTGTTGGGAAGCTGTAATTTCATGGGTATATTGCCACGTTCTGAACATTTGCATCTTCATGCTCAGATGTCTTTTATTCTTGAATTGATTATTGATAATGATTCAATTTGTCTTGATGGAACAGGGAAGAAATGAGTGCTTTCAAAGCCTTTAAAGCCTGCGTTCCAATTGAGTGGAGCCCTAACCTTTATATAACTCTGGTGAGGGGAATGCCTGGCACCAGGAGGCTTCACCGCCGCACCTTAGAGGCATTGCGCCTGCGCAAATGCAACCGCACTGTCATGCGTTGGAACACACCAACTGTTAGGGGCATGCTTCAACAGGTTTTAATTGAGTTTGCAGTTTTGGTTTCCATTTTTGTGTCCAAGTATTGACTTTTAATATTAGGGCCTTGTCAATTGTAATTTTGTGTTTGTGATTTACCTTCATAGGTTAAAAGGTTGGTGGTGGTAGAGACAGAAGAGATGCATAAGAAAAGAAAAGAGAATGAGGTGAACCACCGAGCTCTACGTCCCCCAATTGTTGTTAGTCATCTCCCAGGTTCTGTGACATACTCCTCTAAGCAATCTTAGAAGTACCTCAAAGTTTAGCTCTTCCACCTCTGTATTCAGGGGGATTTTGTTTGTTTTCTGAACTTCTATTCGTGGTGTCATAGCAAAGGATGGTAGAGTATGTATTTTTTTTGTGTATTTATAGATTCTGTTGATACATGCAAGTGCTTCAATTCCAATAAATTATACTTATTTTAACCATAGATACTTATTCTGTGTGGATGTGTTAAACTATATGCTTATGCTTTGTCATTGGGAGTAAGCTCACTACACCCTTTGGATTGCCATAGTTAATACTTTGACGTGAACAACAACAGTACTTGGAATTTGCAGGATTTCTCAGTGGAATGCTTAACCATACTAAATTGTAACCCAAACATGTGACTAAGTTGTGAGAAGAAGAAATAAAAGGATATAAGGAACAGAGTATCACACTTAGGAGGCGCATTTTACTGTAGCACTACCTTTACAAGGACAATGCTCCAAACTTTCAGAAACTACCCTTAATGCCTTATGGGTTAATGACATCCTTGCTGCATTTCATGATAGGAGGCTCTAAGATCATGTCTTCATCACCTTTGTATTCTGGTAGACTTGAACTGCATTTCATATTGTCAGGTACGTTTTAGTTCTTCTTAATTGTCATTAAAACACTGATTTTTCAAGCTGAAGGACCTTGCAAGAAAGTGGTGTGCCTGTCTGCTATGGACACTTTTTTTGAACTCTTATTAATTAGTTGAATGTCTGATTCATTAGGAGTGTTAAATCCTGTTCTGTGCTTTGATATTTTCCGCACCATCCTCTTAATATATCAATTATTAGCATTCATATACCCTGAGCCTATTCATGAATTATGGATAAGCATATAAAGGACTATAATTGTTTCTAGAGGAATGTAGAGTTATGGTTCAATATCTTTGTATAATCCCTTGACTGAATGGTGAGCTTCTATATATGGTTCTTTTCTGTATCTTTTATTCTCAACGAATAGAAGAATGGTTGAACATTACGTTACAAAAATGAAATCCCTGTTAGCTAGAAGCAAGAAGTGCCGTGATCTCTTCCTTCTAAACCATGCAATTTAGCAAGGACCCCAACAAGGGTAGCCGTATTATATGTGCAAGCCTCTGTCTGCCTGTAATTCGCTCTATCATCCCTAAACTCATCCTTTATATCTGGTCCACCAACAAGGGCTCCAATGAGAACATTAGGGTTAGGACCCTTTTGCGCAAACCAGTAATCGTACCCCTGAGTGCACCCAATAAAGCCCTTGTTCTTTCTGTATGATGCAATAGATGCTCCTCTGTGATGCAACCTTTGTGGATATCTCAAGCCATACCCAACTAAGTAGCTCATGGCCATTGGATTGTCCCCCAAGATGTAATCTACCTGTGATTTTGCAAAGGCAAAGACTTCTTCTGATCTCACCTCCCCATGATCACATCTGAGCCCCTTATTCCAGGCCTGAAGATGATCAGAGTAAACTGTAAGCAGAAATGTAGCTGCTGATACATACTGCATATTGTTCCATTGGCGGATATATAGTAAGCCTCCAGGAGTGCGTTCCACATTAGATCCATTGTTTTTGTTTAGACAAGCACACAAGTAGTATTCAGCTTTCGAACGGTACTGTTCCAACATGTGTTTGTGTTGCTTGTGCTTTTCTTCCTCCATCAACTATATCAAATAAAATGAAAACATTTAGTCTTCATAAAGTTATCTAAACCAATATATATATAT